CAAAAAAACAAAACAAAAAAGAATGATGCCATACCGTGCCAAGGGCAAAAGTGAAGCAGGAAAGAAGGGCCCTGGTAGGCCACAGGGTCAAAGAAGAAGAATGAACCAGAAGATGAGGAAGAGGAGGATGAAGAAGATGAGGAGGAAGAATAAATGGCTGTCCTAAAATGTGTGGAGTGTGTGCGCTCAGGCAACTGTTTTGCTAAGAATGTGAAATTCAAGTGCAACTCAGTATAAAAGCTGTACAGATTTTTGTATAGCTGATAAAATTCTTTGTAGAGGAAATACTTTTTTTAAAAAGGAGTTTGTAGCTTTTTCAGGGACTACAAAGTACAGTTAGATTTAAAGCTTTTGATGTTGAATGTTCCTAAATATTTAATGGTTTCTTTAATTTCTTACGGTAGCACAGCAAACTTCATAGGAATTTGTATTACCAGTAAATTTTTTAGGATGTTGTATTTTCTTTTGTGTTTTTCAAAAAAAATTGGAATAAAATAATGTATATTAAAAAAAGAATGATGCCAAATGAGAAGGAACTACTTACATTTGAGAAAGATACTTGAGTAGAACTGAGATTTGCTAGTTTTCTGACCTTCCCATCACAGAGTGCTTCACATTTAGTTTCAGAAGTTTTTCCTGTTTTTAAAGACTGAAATGTAATACTCAGTTACTTCTTCCAAATGCGCAATTTAGCAGTTTCAAGGTTTATCTTTACAGCATGTATCAGTGTGTCATTCCTTTTACTGGCCGGATAAAAATCCATTGTGTGGATATAGGAGGGTGGTTGCTTATGTAGTTACTATTGTTTGAAATTTATTTTGAAATTTTAAACGTTACATTTTTAGCCACACATGGTAGTACACACCTGTACTTCCTGCATCCAGAAGTCTGAGACAGGAGGATTGTGAGTTTAAGGTCTGTGGGACACATGAAACCCTGTCTCAACAGAAGCAGAAAAGGTAGTATTTTCAGATTAAAAAAAAAAGTGGTTCATCAACTTGCCTTTAGAAATATCAACCATGGGCTTAGCAATTAAGAGCAGTGACTGTTCTTCTACTAGAAGACCTAGGCTCAGCCAGGCATTGGTGGCACACGCCTCTAATCCCAGCACTCGGGAGGCAGAGGCAGGCCGATCTCTTGAGAGTTCAAGACCAGCCTGGTCTACAAGAGCTAGTTCTAGGACAGCCTCCAAAGCCACAAAGAAACCCTGTCTCGAAAAACCAAAAAAAAAAAAAAGTTGCCAGCAGCTCAGCTATCTGTAGCTCTAGTTCCAGGGGATCCTGTACCCTCTTCTGCATCCTGGAGCACCAGGTGCACACACAGACATACATGCAGCAAATGAACCCTGCTCATTACAGTCCAGTAGCTTTGAGACTCCTCCGCTTTTTATAAGTCAAGTTTGGGAGATGTATGAGAAAGACAACATACTTTTTACTTTGGACACCTTTTTCTCTAACCTTTGTTAACTTACCTTGTTTGTGGATTGTTTTGTTTCTGAGTTTAGATCTCTTAAGGCCTACAACTCACTATGCAAGCTAGTCTGGTCTTGAGCTTCCGTCCTCCTGCCAGTCTCGTGAGTGCTGGGAATGTGGGCGTGTATAACCATGCCATGCTGGAAACATATCTGTATGTGATAGCTTAAGCCTTAATCTCTGTGTGGAATGGAAGGATGTCTGTGCTGTTTGTTCACATTAAAGCAGGACCAGAGACTTAACATCCTAAAACAGTTTTTATAATGTTGGTCTGTGTACACATCCACAACTTGCTTTCTAAGAGTATATGATTTTATTCTTAGTATACCGTCAAAGCTTAATGTTGCTTGGCATATAGACACTTGATGTTGTTAAACTCAAAGGGTTAATTTTCCTGGGTTTTTTTTTTGGGGGGGGGGGAAGGACAGGGCTTAATTGTTGGAGTGTTTACCCAGCATGCACTTCATGTTGGAGGCAGAAGAATCAGAAGTATAAGGGTATCCTCAATTATACAGTGAGTTGGAAGCTCGCCTGTCTTTTAATAAAACCAAACCCCCAAAAGAAGAAACAGTAAGTCATTCATGGGAAAGCCTGCTAGCAGTGAAGAAAAAGAAGCACCGCGCTTTCATTAACTACGAAGTTTATAGCTGGGCTGGACTGGTCTTGCTATGTAGCCAAGGATAGCCAGAGCTCCAGATCCTGCTGCTTCAGCCTCCTGAGTGCTGTATAGAAGGCGTGTGCTGCCATGCTTGGCAGCCTTGTCAAATTTTTTAAACTGGTTACATTTTTATGTGTATTAGTGTTGTGCCTGTTTGTATGCCTGTTACTTCATGTGTGTCTAGTTCCTATTGAGGTCAGAAAAGGCCATTGGTTCCCGTGGAACTGGAGTTACAGGTGGTTGTGAACCACCATGTAGGTGCTGGGAACCGAACCCAGGTCCCCACTGAGCCATCTCTAACCTCGCTGTAGACTGTTAGAACATCATGTAAGACTGTTTCAGGGATTGCCTGTTCTATGTTTTGCTTTCTGTGAATTGGCCTAGAGTAAGAGATGAGCACTGTGGCAGCTCATTCATGTGTAGAGGGGAGGACTGTGTGTATCCAAAGGCAGGCATTGTGGTCAGTGGGAAATATGTTTGGCGGTGGGCCACCTGTTGTCAGTAGGAAAGTGACAGACTTGAGTACACCTTTAGATCCAAGAATCTTTCTTTCTTTTTTATAGATCTTTCTTTCTTTATTATATATACAGTGTTGTGCCTGCATGAACTCATTATAGATGGTTGTGAGCCACCATGTGGTTGCTGGGAATTAAAGAGCAGTCAGTGTCTTAACCTCTGAGCCATTTCTCCAGCCCCCAAGAATAGTCCTTAAGTGGATGAAAAAAAGCTATTAATTCTCCAGTGTTTTTACTAGATTGAATAACTGTGTCAGTCTCGGACTGCCTGCCTGACTTGTGTTAGTCATTGTTGCACATGCGAACACACACAAGTAATTTTAGTAAATGTGGTAAGGAGAATATATTTGTCACACAACTAAGAATCAGCCCTCGGAGAAATTGTTGGAGAAGAAGAAAAAACAGAAAAAAACTATCTTTACTTTATACATGGGAAAGATAGGATTCCATGCTTTAGAGACACAGGCCCCTAGATACCTGGTCTAAAAGGGTATAAAGACCTTAGTCACACAGTTACATGAGCACTGTGAAGAGAGTCTTTGCTTCCTTTCGTTCTAATTAATCATAGGCCAGTAGAGGAAAAGTACAGGCTCCACGGTCCACAGCTCTCGGGGGAGTCCGAGGGCCTGATCTCAGCAGCTTGAGTTGAAAGATTTGAATGGCAAGAATTTTGCAGAAATAAGAGTTAGCTCTCCAGTCAAAATCAGCCAAAAACATTTAGTGCACTGTAAATGGGTCCCCGCTGTTGGGATAGAGTTGTCACTTCCTAGAGCTACTTCAGAATAAAAGGTTGGAGGTAGGGATGTGGCTCAGTGGGGAAGCGCTTGTCTAGAACAGTCAATAACCAGCGAGGAGGAGGCAGCTGGGTATAGCCAACTGGGTTAGGTCAGACTGAGGGTACAGTAACTTCGCTATTTTAGTGTTTTTTTTTTTGATAGATTTCCATTTATTTATTTGTTGAAAGGTGATGCCACAGCATTAATGGAGAGGTAGGAGGACAATTTCAAATGTCAGCTCTCTCTCCTGCTGCGTAAGTCCAGGGTATCAAATCATCAGGCTTGTGGAGGCAAGTGCTTGGACCTGCCTTACTGCAATTTTCCTTTTCGAGTCAATATCCTAAGGCAGTACTTTGGGTTACTACAGTGGAACATTGAGTTTCTAGAAAGCAAGTGTGGAGGTTAGTGTAGCTGACAGTGGCTTTACTCATCATTTACTAGTCTGTCTGGTTGACAGTTGTGTCCCAGGAGTGACGGAGCTCTTGAAAGGCCTCTGCTGGTGGCTTTCCCAGTCTTAATGCATTGTGCTAGGCTGTTGGGTTCTCTCCTGCTTCCTGTGCCTAGCATCCCTGCACTAATGCTTGGGCATGTCTCGCTTGAGTTAGCTTTAAGTACTTCTTTCTGTGATGGGCAGCAGTGGTTTGGTGACAGCAAGATGGTTTTTCTGGCTATAGAAAGTACTCTAGTTACCATCAGGTCTGATGCCTTCTTGCAGCAAACTCAATAATGGTTTTGTTTCATTTTACGTTTTTTTTAAATTAATCAGATGATCACATGGTTTTGTGACTTGACTTTTTCACTCTGGATGTAAGGATAAGTGAAGTCATATATCATATGATCATTTGTTTGTGGCTTCTTTGACCTAAAGCATAGTATTTTCAAAATCTATGAAAAACACATACCAGTGCATTATTTTTCTTTTAATAATTGGTTATCACTCTCAATCTGGTCAACTCATGACTTGCTGGGCATTAAAGTACTTTTTTTTGGCTGCTAACCGTTGCTGCACCTCCAGAAGACCTGAGTTCATTTCCCAGTGCTGTGTCAGATGCCTCACAACCACCTGTAACTCCAGCTCCAAGGGTCTGATGCCTTCCTCTGGTTGCCAGACACAAAAAGTAAAAATAAATCTTAAGCAATAGAGTAATGCTGCCATGAATAATTGAAATATTTTTATTTCGATTCCTACCAACTTTACCTAAGGATTCCAAGTTGTCTGCATCTTTGTAGAAGTGTCATTGCCAGTCTTTGCTATTATAGCCATAAGTCAGGGGGTGTCTCTTTGTGGGCTTTTGGGGGTTTGGTTTGGTTTTCCAAGGCAGGGTTTCTCTTTATAATTCTGGCTGTTCTGGAACTTGCTCTGTAGACCAGACTGGCCTTGAACTCAGAGATCTGCCTGCTTCTGCATCCTGAGTGCTGGGAATAAAGGTGTGCACCATCGCTGCCTGGCCAGGTTATTTATTTTTATAAGGCATACTTCCAAGTGTTTTTTTTCCCCTGGATTGTCTTTCAGTAAGTAAGAAATGGTATTAAATGTATAACTGAATCTTTTTAATTGTCTATTTTCCTTTTTCAACAGGCTAAGGAAATTTTAACAAAAGAATCAAATGTACAAGAGGTTCGCTGTCCTGTTACTGTTTGTGGAGATGTGCATGGCCAATTCCATGACCTCATGGAACTCTTCAGAATTGGTGGAAAATCACCAGATACGAACTATCTATTCATGGGTGACTACGTAGACAGAGGTTATTATTCTGTGGAGACTGTGACTCTTCTTGTAGCATTAAAGGTATGATTGGTGAAAATGGGGTAGGGGTAAGCTTCACGTTAGGCCAAAGGCAAGAATGTTAGTGTTGCATGTATCTTCTGTTTAATTTCTGATCTGTTTGGCTTAAGTAACCATTGGCTTTACATCTTTTTAAAGAGAGATAAAAATTAGCTGGGCAGTGGTGGCGCACGCCTTTAATTCCAGCTCTCGGGAAGCAGAGGCAGGTAGATCTCTGTGAGTTCAAGGCCAACCTGGTGTTCAAAGCAAGTTCCAGGATAGCTAGGGCTGTTACTTAGAGAAACCCTGGAGAGAGGGAGGCCAGGCATTAAACTTGTATCCACTTCTGATAAATGTGTATTGTCCATAACTGAACTCTGAATTATATTTAATTACTTACTGCCCTCCATATGGAATCATTAAGCAGTTCTGTAATCCATGCCATGAAAGGCCAGCCATTGTTCTTGCCTTCCTGTCTTTACTGCCCTACACTCAGCACTTCACTCTGTGTCCGAGATCTGCTTCTTTCATCCACCCTGCTTATTCTGCCAGATGAGATGTCCTCATTCAGCTTCTGTGTGTTCTGTCTCGTGACTTCCCTGTTCCCAGAGTCTTCTTCAATTCCTTACAGTCAGTAGAGCCGAACTCTTGCTCTCCTGTAGTCTGGCCTGAATTGACCTACTTGTAGTTGAAAGCAAAAACTTGCTACCTCAAAGAATATTTTATTCATTGCTCTGGGCCATCTAGTCCTTCTTTTACCCAGTTTCCCCATAAGATTATTCCAGTTACTTCCTACTCATGCCTCCTGCCCCGCTCAACAAACGCTTGGGACTTTTAGGTCTCAGAAAATTTACATAATTCATAATGAGATGAGGGGACCCAAGTGTAAGCATCAAATCACTTGTTTCATATATATCTTACGTGTCTGTCCTTAATGTTAACAGTTAATTTACAAATGGACAAAAGAACTATTTGAAGACATGACTCTGAGGTTAAAAACTAACACAATACTGGTGAGATACCATATCACGGGTTTCTTTTCCTTTTCTTCCAGGTGCGCTATCCAGAGCGTATTACAATATTGCGAGGAAATCATGAAAGCCGACAGATCACCCAAGTCTATGGCTTTTATGATGAATGTCTACGAAAGTATGGAAATGCCAATGTGTGGAAATACTTTACAGATCTCTTTGACTATCTCCCACTTACAGCTTTAGTAGATGGACAGGTATGTGTGAGTGACTGTCTTACAGAAGGAGGGTAAATGTGGGAAAACACTTTGTATCAGAAACTCAGGATCTGTACTTACAAGATGTAAAAGTTTCTGGCTTTGTCTGTCTGTTTAACACAGTGCTGGGGTTAAACCTGGTGTCTGGTGCATGTTAGCAGGTGTTCTGCCATTGAGCCACAGATCCATGGTTTGGTTAGTCTGTTGATGATGGTTTTTGGGGGGTTGTATATGCATGTTTTAGAGACATTCCACTAAGCTCTCCAGGCTTAGACTCAGTGTACCCAGCACAGCTTGATACTGCAATTCTCTTAACTTGGGCTCCCAAGTTGCAGGGACAGTAGGCTCTGCTTTCCCTGGCCCATAAGCCTTCTGGCAAGAAGATATGCACCAGTATGACGATGCTGTAAATAAGTGCCTAAGTCTATGGGTGGATATAGTAATTAGTAACACAAGATGGTTTTGGAAATTGTATCCATATTACAGTTTCCTGGTTATCATTAGTAACTTTTCATTCCTATGTGTTTCTCTGTCTCCCTTCCCCCTTCTTCTCCCCCTCTCCCTTTTTCGCTTTCAGAGTTTCTCTGTGTAGCCTTGGTTGTCCTGGAACTCACTCTGTAGACCAGACTGGCCTTGAACTCACAGAGATCCACCTGCCTATACCTCCCAAGTGCTGGGATTAAAGGTGTGCACCATCACCACCTGGCAGTTCCTATGTATTTTCATAGTAACTACCGTATCATGTTGTGTGTATTTTTTAATCAAGGGGTACTGTTTTCCACCATGTGTATTGATGCATACATAAGACATTATACAGGCTTCCTATTTCCATGTTAGAGGCTTCATGGTAAGCTGATTCAAATTCATATATAAAACATACAGTAAGACTCTGCAGTGTTTAAATGAGAAAAGCCCAGTGTCCTTGAAGGTGTAATGGATACTCTTTGGCTTGCTGGTTTGATTATAACAGTCTACATTTTCCCAGCCACGATTTTGGATACTGCAATAATTAAAATGACAATTCTTTGTCTATACTTGACAAATAGAATGAAAATGTAAATTAGGTATTATATTTTAATTAAAATTTAAATTTTTCAAGCAATGGTCTTTATTGGCCTTAAAGTAATGAACAAACTAGAAAGAGTGTTAATAGTAGTGATAGTATATGATTTTGGAACTTGATACATCTATTGGTAGAACTCTTACATAATTCTCACAACAAGCTCCCAAACGTTGTCCCCTCGCCTCTATTAAATGTGCCCCTACAAATATTATATACACATAAAAAGTAACTGAATTGAAGATGATAAACTATGGAGAAAATAACCTGCAAAGTGGTAATGTGCTCAGGAGATCTCAGGAAAACTAAATACCTATTGGAATCAGTGACAGGAATCAGTAGTATGATGGTATTTGAAAGAAACAGTTTTAATCCCAGCCCTCAGAAGACAGAGGCAGGCAAATCTCAGGGAGTTCGAGGCCAGTGTGTTCTGTAGCCTGGTTCTAAGACAAGCAGGACTGTTACACAAAGAAACCCTATCTCTAAGCCCCTCCCCACCCCAGAAAAAGAAAAAGAAACAGTTTTTATACATCATGAGTACGAGGCAGAAACTAGTGACAGATAATGAGGGTGAGGATCCTGTTTATAAGCAGCACTGAATAAACTCGGTGGCAGAGGTAGACAAAGCATGCAGAAGACCTCAGACCCCGGTACCACAAGGGGGGAGAGAAGAAGAGCCTCTACGCTCTGGGGCTGTAGCCTGCTGCTGCTCGTCCCATTTGACTTTGCACTGTAGCTGACAAGTTTTTCAGTTAATACTGGTTTTTGGGTGGCAGGGGCTGGTGTGGAGGAACTGTCAGGGCTAACATTTACAACCACTACTTACTCTTCATTACTCTAGCAACTATAAGAACAAAATACTTTCTTCTCAATTTATAAACAGATATTCTGCCTCCATGGTGGCCTCTCTCCATCCATAGATACACTGGATCATATAAGAGCCCTGGATCGTTTACAAGAAGTTCCACACGAGGTAAATTTGGTGGCTGTTTTCTTTGATTTTAACAAAAAAATATAGTCACGTGTGGTAAGGTTAAACATAACTACTAATAATTCATAATGCATATCTGTTCTCCTTGACCAGGGCCCAATGTGTGATCTCTTATGGTCAGATCCAGATGACCGTGGCGGATGGGGCATTTCACCACGTGGTGCTGGCTACACCTTTGGACAAGATATTTCTGAAACATTTAACCATGCCAACGGTCTCACACTGGTGTCTCGTGCTCACCAGCTTGTGATGGAAGTAGGTACTTTTTTCCTGCAGAATTACCTTTATCTCATGGTATGTGTATCTGTAATGGGCTTCATGACTTAGGTTGCAAGAAACATCCTCATTAAAGAGCAATCTTAACTTACTTTTGGAAGTGAGAAAGCTGTTAGCTCCCCCAGAGCAAAATTATCATTCACTTTTTAAATTGAAACATAAAAGTTGTGAAAATAATTTGAGTTGTTTTATATTCTTTGCTCAAATTCCTAAGCATATATATTTTTTCCCATTCTCATTCCCATGTCATTTCCCTGACAAATGCTCCTTATCCCCAAATCTCCATGTTTATTTTCCTAAACCATTATTTGTTGTAACCAGTATTTTAGTCAGAATGTTTCCATTGGATACTCCTACCTAAATACTTAAGTCAGATTATTGAAACAAACTTTTAAGTTTTGCAGTGTGTATATCAATTAGGTTACAAGTAATTCTTCAGATTTTCTTTATGTGCTCTTGATGGTTTGAAATGACCAAAGTTTTATGAGAATAGCTTTCTAAATCTAGAAAGCTTGTAGTCCCAATATTTGGTAGACCAAAGCAGGGGGTCATGAGTTTCAGGCCAGTCTAGGATATATAAGGAGACACTCTTAAATAAAGCCCTCTTGGGAGGGGCTGGAGAGATGGTTCAGCAGTTAAGAGTGCACACTGATCTCCCAGAGACTCCTCGGTAGAGACGTGACTAATGTTCCTTATGATTATGGAGCTATTCCATGCATGTTTGAGTTGCATGCTCTCGAGTGATGTGCCCTTGGTGCATTGTATCAAGGAGGTTTGAAATCTGTGTCACTGCTGGTTTTATAAACTGGTCACTTAGTTGAGGTGGTAGCTGAAGCCCCTCCTATTATTAGTATTGTTACTACTTACAGAACAAAAGAGAATGTAATCCCTCTAAGCCAGCAAGGAATGGCTTTAAGGAGTGTGGGAACAAACTTTACCAGCCCAGAACAGGCAAGGAACGGCGTGGGAGCATGATTAAGAACGCATGCATGTAGTGCCATTAAAACTCATTATAATTATATAATCATAAATGTCAATGATGACTGGATATATTTTAAGTACAGTGACTAAGACTTACTTTCCTGAAAGTCAGAGACTTTGAAATTAGAAGATAATCAAATTTTAGTTATTACGAGACAAAACTGAAACATACTTAAACATCACAAATTAAAAGATGGAAATGGTATGATGTGAATCAAGTAGATAAGTACCAAACCCTGCCCGTGATGTAAGAGTCTGGTACAGGTGACCTTTAGATGACCCAGGCCATTACTGATGTGCACTGGCACAGCTCTCCAGGAGAGCTCACACAAGTTGCCATTTGCCCAATACTGACTTCAAGATTTCTGTAGCAAATGTTGGAAACCAGACACTTTCTATCATGTCTTGGCACTTGGAACCCTATGGCAATTGTAAATTTGAGAATACTGTGACCAAAATAGCAAAATTCTTTCTCCAAAAAAAAAACAAAAAACAAACAAAAGAAAATGAAAAAAGGCATGTACACACAATAAGTAAGTAAATAATAAATGAGGTGCTTGGCAGAGTTTATGAGGGAAAATGGGAAAATTATCATCTTTGTCTGAGAAGTTCAGTGTGTACCCTAAGCTAAGATCCTAAGTGGTTACTGAGATCTATAAACTCTTGTACCTAATGATTGTCCACTATTCTGAGCAGGTTCAGAAACTGTTGATCACAGGAGGTAAGATGATTCTGTAGCAACAGAAGTACTTAGGATTTGAGTTCTGTGTCAAGATTGAATTTTTTAGGGCTGGAGATATGGCTCAGAGGTTAAGAGCACTGACTGCTCTCCTGCAGGTCCTGAGTTCAATTCCCAGCAACCACATGTGGCTCACAACCATTTGTAATGAGATCTGGTGCCCTCTTCTGGCCTGCAGACATACATGGAGGCAGGATGTTGTATTCATAATAAATAAATAAATCTAAAAAAATTCATTTTTTAATGAAACAATGACCTTCTTACTTTACTGTTGCAGGGATATAATTGGTGCCATGATCGGAATGTGGTTACCATTTTTAGTGCACCCAATTACTGCTACCGCTGTGGAAACCAGGCTGCTATCATGGAATTAGATGACACTTTAAAATATTCTTTGTAAGTAACTGGGCATTTTAATTGTATGTAATCACTTTTAGAGGGAAAAGGTTAACTACTGAAAAACAGAGTTGGGGGCTGGAAAGATGGCTCAGCAGCTCTGAGGACTCAAGTTCAGATCCCACAAAGTCCTGTAACTCCAGCTCCAAGGGATCCAACGCCCTCTTCTGGCCTCTTAGAGATACATGTACATGTGCACACAGAGTCACATACACATGTGTACGCATGAATAAAAATAATCTTAGAATGAAAAGCATGAAAGAATTCTGTTTATGAGGCGATAGAACCTCTTTCCCAAATATTTAATTGTAAAAATTGTTTTCTTGCCGGGCGGTGGTGGCACACGCCTTTAATCCCAGCACTCGGGAGGCAGAGGCAGGCGGATCTCTGTGAGTTCGAGGCCAGGCTGGACCGACAGCTTCCAAAACAGAGAAACCCTGTCTCGTAAAAACCAAAAAAAAAAATTTGTTTTCTTCTGATGAGCTGGGCATGTAACCATGGCCTCATACATGCCAGTTCATTGCTATGCCACTGAGCTACATACAGCCCAAAAAAAGGTTCTAATTTTTTACAGTATTTTGAAATTTTCCCAAGAGCTTACAGGTGATGGAAAAATCATTTAACGTTAAGAGAACCTTAAGCCCTGTATGGTAGTACACATATTTCATTAATACCAGCACTCAGGAGGCAGACTGAGACCAGTCTGGTCTAAGCAGTGAGTTCCAGGACATCAGGGGAGTACATAGAGATACCCTGTCTCAGAAAGACAAACAAGTTAATAACCTAGAGAAACCTGTCATTATAACTACTAGAAGCTTGCACCCCTCCCCTTACACATTATAACAGAAACTACTCTGGGTGGGAGTAGAGAAATGGAGTAGTGGTTAAGAACACTAGCTGGTCATCCAGAGGTCCTCAGTTCAATTCCCAGCAACCACATGGTGGCTCACAACCATCTGTAATGAGATCTGGTACCCTCTTCTGGCATGGAGGCATGCACACAGGACACTATATACATAATAAAAAATAAATCTTAGGCCGGGCAGTGGTGGCACATGCCTTTAATCCCAGCACTTGGGAGGCAGAGGCAGGCGGATCTCTGTGAGTTCGAGGCCAGCCTGGTCTACAAAGCGAGTTCCAGGACAGCCTCCAAAGCTACAGAGAAACCCTGTCTCGAAAAAAACAAATAAACAAAAATAAATAAATAAATCTTTAAAAAAAAAACTACTCTAGGGAACAGGAGAGATGCAAGTTTAATTCCCAACACCTACGTGGCTGTTCACAGCCATCTGTAATCCCAGTTCTGATATCTTTGAACACTGGCACTTACAGCACAGAATTTTACCAGAAGTTTAAAGTAATAAAACGTACTACTGGGGGGTGTGGCTCCATCGGCTCCTGCTTACGTAGAATACCCCCCAAAACGGACCCCCCGAAAGGAGGGAAAGGAAACTGGTAACTTAGAAAAGGCACTTGATAAAATTCAGTCTGCTTTAAATAAAATCAGCAAGCTCTGCACAGAAGGAAACTTGCTGTGCCTGAAGACAGACAAATACCCTGATTTAGCCACATGATGGTGAGAAACAGTACTGATCCTAAGCCCCTTCAACTGATAATAGTGTCAAAAGTCTTTTCTGCCAGACGCTAGCAGCCATGTTGTCTAGATTTTCACCATAGCTCTGTGAGGTATATGATTGGTCACCTGTAGTGATGTGCTCAATTATTCCAGCCACATGGAATGTAGTAATACAGAATACAGAAAGGATGGCTTTGTCTAGTGAGTGGCTTAATTGCTGATTCAATTTCTTATCATTTATTTATAGTCTTCAGTTTGACCCAGCACCTCGCCGTGGAGAGCCTCATGTGACCCGGCGTACCCCAGACTACTTCCTGTAAATTCCTCCCCAGGACCTTTCTTTGTATGTGGAAGTATACCTGGATTTTTAAAATATATATATATTTTTTAAATATATATATATTTAAAAACAAGTTATCTATGTGTTTCTGTAACAAATTGTGGTATGTCTTGACATTAAACTACATCATGGACCAAACGTGCCATACTAATGATGAGTGTTTAGCACAATTTGAGACTGAACTTAACTACACTGTGTTCTAGATCAGTCTGCCTGCTGTGTTGTAGGAACCATTCTTCTTGGCTGGTTAAACAAAAAGGGGTCACTGACTGCTTCATCTCCTTTGCACCTGGAAATTTAGTTACAGTCTTTAACTGGCATGGATTAATAGAGTCGGAGTTTTATTTTTAAGATTTCACCACCTGACTTCCACTTAATTCATTACCCTTTATTTTATTGAAATGTGTAACTAACTGAAGAAGAGATTCTTGGGAGTATGTTGTCATAACATTAAAGAGATTTCCTTTCATTTAAACTAAATTACTGTTTGATGTTGATCTGCATTATTTCTGTATATTTGTCATGACAGTGCTTGCATCCTATTTGGTGTACTGAACAAATAAACTTTCCAATTTAAACAAAAACATTTTAGCTGTGAGTTGCTATATACATTAAATGGAAGCATCACCACTTTAAAACTTGATACAAATACTCAAGTCTGTGGTTGGTTTTCATTAACTTTGGCTTTTGAGATGGCCTTTGTATAGACCCAGATAACCTTGAACTACTTGGTTCTCCTGGCTCTACCTCCCAAGTGCTAGGATTACAGGTGTAGGACACCTTGCTGAGTCACAAATAGCCGATGTGTAATAAGGATAAGAAGCTGTACTGACAGGAATTACCTGGTAAATTTAGGGGCTGGGGATTAACTCTGGTAGGGTGTTCATTTATATTCATCCCCAGGTTATATGTGCACATGCAAGTACACACACACACACACGAGTAATGTTTGTTTATAGTTTACATTTAAAGCAGAACAAAGTCAAGTATTTGCTGATAACTTTTAGACCATTAAAAATCCATTTTTACACCCTGTTGTCATTGTTCTTGCTAATTTGTATCTTCCATTGCTGGCTGGCTTAACTCTGTTCTGGTCACTGGTTTCATGTGGAATTTAAGAAATACTTTTGTTGACTTTATGGAATCCCCAATCTTTTGTAAGATTTGAAATTTCATTTTTATTCTTTGTTATAAGACCATGTTAGCTTGAAAGTAATGAGAATAAGCATTAAATTAAATATTAATTTGAAAAAATCCATTTTCACATTTCTAAACATTTCATTGGGTGGTTTGTATTAATTTATTCTTTTGGGCAGGGCTGGGGAGGGTTGAAACAGCATTTCCCTGAATAGCCTTGGCTGTCGTGGAACTTGCTCTGTAGATCAAGCTGGCCTCAAACTCACAAAGATCCTCCTGCCTCTGCCTCCCAAGTGCTGGGATTAAAGGCACGCACCATCACCTGGTTTAGTATCTTAATCTTTAATATTTTGGAGACAGGGTCTCATGTCCACTCTGAAATTTCTTAATTTATTCCTATTTCTAGGTCAAAAGAGACAACCCATCTTGGCTTTTAAAGTTTCCTGTTATATTTACAATGTCTATAGTTATTAAAACAGACGTTCCAAATTTTGTACTTAAAATTGTGAATAAATTAGCAGGGCTGTGGTGGCACATGCCTTTAAACCCAGTACTTGGGAGGCAGAGGCAAGTGGATCTGAGTTCCAGGACAGCCAGAGCTTTTACACAGAGAAATCCTGTCTCTAAAAACAAACAAAAAGAAGATTAAGAAAGATACCTTAAGACAGACTCTAAGGGTATCAGTGCATACAAAAACAACAGCTCACACTCCTAATGCACCTACCAACAATGGCCTTATTTACTGTAGTTTCAATATGTTCCCCAAAAATCATGCTTCAAAAACTTCATCCCCAGATTTAAGTCAAAATTACATAGGATCAGTCCACTCTGCAATTTCTTTAAAGTCTTTAACTTTTTAGAAATACAGTAGAATCAACATTCCTACTTGAAGATTTTGAATTGTAAAATGCTGTGGTAAGGTGGATTCAACAAACAGAAATCACAGTTCTTAGGTAAGAGTTGGTTTGTTTTGTTTTAGATGGTCTGGCTGAGACCTGATATCAGATGTCTGTCTTACGTTTTTACCTTGTTCTCACTTTGGTACAATGTAAGATGACAATCCTCTTCCACTGTATGTAGGTGTGCTCCTATGAACAAGAAGAGTTCAGGGTACAGCATGGCTTTAATGTAAACACTGCCCTGTGAGGTCCCGTGTATCGACTTTAATGACAACAGGTAGATGTGACTCTACTGGCCACTCTGTTCTTTCTCTTCCACGTTAAGTACCGTATCCACAGTTATTCCTATGTCCTCCAGTGACAAGCCTCCCTCCGCTTCCAGAGGCCTTCTGGGAAAGGAAGTGGAAAGGCTGTATAGGGATTTGTGGTACCCGATTTTCATCATCCAGTCAAGTAAAACCTAGAAGAATTTTTTTAAAAAAGGCTTTAGTATCAGACTAAAGGTTCCTCCAGAATCTCACTGTGACATTGTACAACTCTGTCATTCTGAAATTGTGTCCCAAGGAATGAAAAGTGATGTCCACATCTTTTCCTAGTCTTGAAGGAAGAGTGGCATGTCATGAATTTGCAGATATGAATAATGAATAACCTTTAATGCCTTTCTTTCTTCCAGAGAAAGTATAGGCCTACTAGCATAGTAGTAACAAAGCCTCATCCATAAAGAGGGCATGGAAACTATTCAATGAAATATTGAGAACAAGAAAAAAATTGGAAACAGAAATTTGGATCAAAATCTAAGCCAACAGAATACATCAAAATCATGAAGGAGCTTTGTCAAAATGACAAAGCCCAATTTACTGTGAACCATTCCTATAATGTCCATAAAGATTACCATATACACACTGGGTTCAAAGTTCAGCACCACAAAAAAAATCCATTTGAAAAGACATTTGCCTCAAAACATGAAATGTTATAGCATGTTTGCTTCAAAAAGAAAAGTTGGATATATTCCCACACAGCTGTAGTCCCAGCTGAGGCTAGAAGACTACTGGAGCCAAGATCTTGTGTCTCAACCACTAAAAAACAAAACAGATAAATGACAAAGATAAAATGTTCCAAATGCCCTGAATCGCTAGCCACCAGCCAAGAAGCCACTACTGATCCATATACGAAACCTGTATGTCATTAATTTTAATTAAGACATTTTTAGAAGTGTAGGAATGGAACCCAGGAAAATTGTCCACTCTGCCATTAAGTTTATACTTACTATATCTTTCTGCCAGGCATGTGGTGGTACATGCGTTTAATCTCAGCACTCAGGAGGCAGAGAGAGGCAGGTGGATCTATGAGTTTGAAGCCAGCTTGGTCTACAGAGAGAGTTCCAGGGCAGCCAAGGTTACAGAGAAACCCTGCCTCAAAAAAACAAAAAACCTTCTGTAGATGGTTTTGAGTCAGGGTCTCACAAACTGGCTCCAAACTCACTGCCAGGTGTCATACCCATAACCCCTGAGGTAGAAAGATCACACTCTTCAGTTATACCTGCAGCCACTAAATGACTTTAAAATAAACTGCCAGGTGTGGTAGTTCAACCCACACATTCAGAAGGCTGACACAGATGAGCTCTAGGCCAGCCTAGACTACATAGAGAGTTTCAGGCTCCCCTGAGCCCAAAAGCACACCATATCAGCCAACAACTAAAATGTAATGAAACAATCAGGGAAATTCAGCCATTACAAGAATGCCTGCTTGAAGATAAAATTTTTTTTTTGGGTACACTGTGAAGATGTATCATTCTGATTGGCTTAATAAAAAAGCTGAACAGCCAATAGCTAAATAGCTAGGCAGGATTTTCAGAAGCACAGGATGCTGGGAAGAGGAAAGGTGGAGTTGCCAGAGAGGAAGCAGCATGGGCAGAGTAAAGGTAAAGCCACAACACAGAAAATATACTGATAAAAATAGGTTAGTTTAAGTTGAAAGAGCTAGTTAGTAACAAAACTATCAGCCAAGCTTTTATAATTAATAAGTCTCTGTGTCGTTTATTTGGGAGCTGGCTGGTGGGGCAGAGAAAGACTAGCTACACTAGCCTTCACACTAAAAAAAGAAAAAGCCGGGCACTGGTGGCGCACGCCTTTAATCCCAGCACTCGGGAGGCAGAGGCAGGCGGATCTCTGTGAGTTCGAGGCCAGGCTAGACCGACAGCCTCCAAAACAGAGGAACCCTGTCTCGTAAAACCAAAAAAAAAAGAAAAAAATTAATGGGAAAAACAAAATGTAAATGTAGGGTGCAGAATGTTCATATTGTCTATGTGGTAACAGATCCTACTGCCTCTGAACATACTATTGACAAATCTGGTAAGTCAGTTATTTCTGAAAACACTGATTTCCTTACCTGTGAATTCCAAGACTTGGAAAATCTCCTCCTCAAAACATGTCCACTTGGGCATCGAAGGGCAACTGTAACCACCTGGGAAACAATTATTCATGTAAGCCACAGTGGTCACCCAGACCAGCAATCCACACGGGAAGCTGAGGCAGGAGACTGCACATTTGAGGTCAGCCTGAGCTACAAAGCAAGACCTTATCTCAAGAACAAAGTCCAGATAGGGGTTCCAGCCCAGCCTGGGGATGTGGCTCAGCTGGCAGAGTTTGCTTAGCATGTACAAAGCCCTGGATTCAATATCCATCCCCACATACACCAACAAGGTGAGACAAGCCAGTCCCAAGCGCTGCAAATGTGGAGCCAAGAGGATCAGAAACTCAGTAAGTTTGAGGCCATCCTAGACTACATCAGGAAACTACCTCAAAAAAGCGTTCTAGCCAGGCGTTGGTGGCGCATGCCTTTAATCCCAGCACTCGGGAGGCAGAGGCAGGTGGATCTCTGTAAGTTCGAGACCAGCCTGGACTACCAAGCGAGTTCCAGGACAGCCTCCAAAGCCACAGAGGAACCCTGTCTCGAAAAACCAAAAAAAAAACCAAAAACAACAAAAAAAAAAAACGTTCTAAGTAGGCTGAAGAGATCGTTGATGTTGTGCCCACTCAGAGGACCCCAAGGCTTCAAGGAGCTTAACCAGCTAGCTGGTTTTCTGGAAATACAAGAAGGTCCGTTTATTTCCAGAAAACCAGCTAGCTGGGGCTCAACTCTGTCGGGAGAGTTGAAGCCCGGAGCCACAAAAGCAAGGCACTTTTAAAGAAAAAAAGGAGGGGAGGGGGGAGTCCCAAGCCTGCAAGTTCTGGTCCCCAGGGTTCCCATGGTTACAGAGATTGCTTAGCACAGTAAGTCTTTATACATAGTTATTGCATACCAACTTTTCATACAAAGTTATTATAAGACAAGGACCTTGAGAAGACAATAACTGTCTTTGGCTCACGTAACCCCCCCTCACTTAGTTGGGGTCTTTTATTCTCCTTTGTTTTTTTCCATCCATTTTCCTTAGTGGCCCAGAACACATCAGTTGAGTGGTTAAGAGCACTGACTGCTCTTTTGGAGACCCAAGTTCAGTTCTCAGCATTATAACCACAGACAACCTCTGTAACTCCAGATCCTGGATATGATGCTTTCTTCTGACCTCTATGTGGTACAGAGACATTCTTCAGATAACACTCATACATATCAAATAAATCTAAAAGAAAAATATTTTTAGCTGGGTAGTAAGTGGTGCATGCCTTTAACACCAGTACCCGGGAGGTAGAGGCAGGAGGATCTCTGAGTTCCAGATCAGCCTCCAAAACTAGAGACACCTTGTCTAGAAAAACATCGACAACAACAAAAAAGGATTACCGGGCATTGGTGTCTCACACCTTAATCCCAGCACTCGGAAGGCAAAGGATCTCTGTGAGTTTGAGACCAGCCTGGTCTAGAGTGAGTTCCAGGACAACCTCCAAAGCAATACAGAGAAACCCTTTTTCGAAAAACCAAAAAAAAAAAAAAAAAAAGGAAGGAAGAAAGGAAAAATTATTTTTAAGGGGGTTAAAGGGCGTGTACTGCTCTTGCAAAAAACCTGGGTTCAGTTCCCCAACACGCATGCACATCAGGGACTCAACATCCTACAACTCCATTCTTCTTTTTTTTGTTGTTGTTGTTTTTGTTTTTGTTTTTTCGAGACAGGGTTTCTCTGTATTGTTTTGGAGCCTGTCCTGGAACTCGATCTGTAGACCAGGCTGGCCTCGAACTCACAGAGATCCGCCTGCCTCTGCCTCCCGAGTGCTGGGATTAAAGGCGTGTACCACTAACGTCTGGCCACAGACACACACACACACAAATAAGTGTCTTTCTCCCAGGAACTCAGTATCTGGATTGTTTTCCTCAGTTGTCTCTTACCTGTGAACACCTTCCACACTTTCCTACCACACACAAAGTACCAAACTTAAATGTTACAATGGGTTGACAAAACTGAGTTTCTCTTAAAATGGCTGCTTCAAAAACTGTTCTCTGAGGAGTCTAATGGATACTGAACTTCACAAAATAGGGCAACGCAGTTCTCTTTCTGGGCCCTAAATGCACATGGTGCCCCTGCACCAGACAATCACCCACGGCAGGTGGGATATCCGCCCCTCCCCAGCCCAGCAACAGTGAAGCAGTCCTTCAATGCCCAGGCAGCCGCAGTGTCGGAAGTGGAGACCAGTGTGACGCCATCTATCTGCCTGTCCCAAGGCTGCTGTTCCCTAGGAAGCAGCTCACTGACTGACACTGATCCCTGCCCTCTCCGCCTGGAGTAGCCGGGGAGTGCTCTACATGACAACTCAGCAGACTGCCTCCCAGAGCAGCACTCGGCTGAGCCTCTGATGCCATTCTCACCATAGACACGACCCCAGGGCAGCCACAGGACCCTGCTCTTCCCTCTAGACCCTACCTGATGACATCAAAGGAAATGGAGAATACGAGAAACTCACCTCTTGAGCTGTTTCTGGTGGTTCTTCGGGTAAATTGGGAACCTAAAGAAATCTGAGTATTAGTGAGAAGAAAGTAAAAAACATTCCCAAGAAGTGAGAAGTCTCAACAAGAGCCCCGTTCAGTTACATGCATCTAGGTTTTAAAAAAGGCTTCTTTATATATACATCTATCAAGCATTTATAGTGAGGCCCGGTCGATAGATATCTCAATTAAAGGTGCTTGCTGCCCAACCTGACTTGGGTTTGATTCCTAGGACCCATGTGGTACAAAAAGAGAACCAACTCCTGCGAAGTTATGCTGACCGCCTCACATGCATACATGTATTCACACATAGTAAATCACTACTGTAATTCTTTAATAACGTTTTGTAAAGTTGACAATAGAGCTGGGAGTGCTACTGCACGCCTTTAATCCCAGCACTCTGGAGTAGAGGCAGGCAGATCTCTAAGTTTGAGGCCAGCATGATTACAGAATGAGTTCCAGGACAGCCAGGGCTGCACTGAGAAACCCTGTCTCAAAGACCCCAAAAAACAGTTGTCATGGTCATGTTGCCTCTTCACAGCATTAGAACATTGAATAAGACGCTGGCCGACAATCTGGGTTCAATCCCCAGAGAAATGGATTCCCACAGGCTGTACTCAGAATCCCACACTCACACACACTAAATAAATAAGTGTATTTTTTTATTTTTATTTTTAATTTATTTATTTATTTTGGTTTTTGGAGACAGGGTTTCTCTGTATTGTTTTGGAGGCTGTCCTGGAACTCGCTCTGTAGACCAGGCTGGCCTGGAACTCAGAGAGATCCACCTGCCTCTGCCTCCTGAGTGCTGGGATTAAAGGTGTGTGCCACCAACCCCCGGCTGTGTTTTGTTTTAATCTCTTAAATTCAGTTTCAAAAAAAGAAGAGAGTGAGTTCACACTGGACGAGCAAGTGCTTGCCTGGCATGCACTAGGCTCTGTAATCAACCGCCAGTATGCTTCCCTAAAATGTTTCTCTTAAGATTCTGGGATATTATGTAAAAATGCACTACTTATAGAAACAGGAAAAGCCTTGGGTTGTAGTGCAGGCTGCTGTCTCAGCACCTGGAAGGCAGAAGCATAATGCCTTGCCGTCATGTACAAAATTACTTACAAACCCTGATTAAAACTTCCTGAGTTTATGTGAGTAAGGTGTACAGTAAATGAATGTGTTTATACTTGAACCCTCTTCTCAGTATCTCAATGTATACATAAAAATATCCTACCATCTGTGAAATACTTCCGATTCCATGCATTTCAAATGAGGGTATTCAGCCTGTAGAAGGCACTGACCGCTCACAAGACACACTAGAAATACCCTAAGACACCCAGTAGGCATGCTTCCCATTGTGAACACTGGCCTTTCTTCTTTCTCTACACAACTAAATTATTTTCTAACCCAGTAGCATCTCATCTGTCTTCTGGCTTTCCACTAAATTTGGTTCAGATTTTGGCTATTAAGTAGGACCAAGGAGCCATGCAGCTGTCCCTCTCCATGGTGGTGAGAAGACACCATCTTTGTTAAAAGCCATGCTCCTCTTCCCCAGTAGCCACCTCCCCCAGAGAATGCATTCAATGAGTGGTGTGGACGAACCTCCTTCTTGGCAGGCTGTGGAGTAGGCGGTGGTATTTCAGTTAAAAGCTTGGGCAAGTTCCGTCTCCTTGCTGCTTCTCTGTTTGCTGTTTCAAAAGACACCTGACTGGAATTGTCAAGCACCAAATCTTCATCCTCCTGGTCAAAAGAACCAAAACAATTCTAAAGAGGCACGTTCTGTCAGCTAGGTTCTGTTCACAATGGTTACTTTAACTTATGCATAATCTCCTTGCACAAGAAAACAGGCCTTCAGAATCAACCTTTATCCAGCTCACAAGAAGCTGGGCACAGAAGGACATTCCTGTAACTCCAGTAGGGAGCTACAGGGCAGAACCCGGAACTCACCAGCCAGCTAACCTCCTAAGAACAGTGAGCTTCGGGTTCAGTAAAGGCAGAGTCACAAGAGTGAGGTAAAGGACTGCAGGGTGGCTCAGCAGTTCAGAGCATGGCTGCTCTTCCACAGACCTGGCTTAGATTCTCAACACCCACCCGGTGGCTCACAACCATCTTTACCCAGTGCCCTCTTCTGGTTATGTATGTAGTATACAGAATACAGGCAGGAAAACATCCATACAAATAGTAAAATGGAAAATAAACTAGGACTGATAGAAAGTCCATTTGATGTCCTCTGGCCTCACCATGGGCACACAAGCCACACACATGGACCCACATACACAAGAAGTCACTACACAGAGCAGTGGCACTTGTATACTGGCCAGCTTTGATATCAGTGTTATCTGTTACCTGCTCTCGACTGTTTTAGGACACATTGGCCACTGTGAAACAAGTAAGAATGGGCTCTGTTGATAAGCAACCTGTCATCTTTACAAAATCCTTTTCTTTACAAGATAATGGAAGACGCCGCATAAACAGGAAACACAAAACGAAATGCACAAAAATGTGGCCTTAATATAAAATCTGTCACCAGTCCTCCTACCCATAGGCCCTTTCTCCATAATAAACAATTGTAAGCCCCATGACCAGTGACTTTAAAAACCAAGCATGATGGATGCAATGTGAGTTTGGATGTTGGACGACCCAGGTTTGGTTCTTGGCGTACTCGTGAAGGATAACAACCATGTGGTTCCAGTTTCAGACGCTCTGACGAGCTCTTCTGAGTACACATGCATATAAACAAGCAAAATACTCGTGCACATCAAATAAAAACAAATCAATCTATTTTTTAATGTCAGTTGAATACTCTGGATATATGGATATTTTACTTAAGCAAAGATCAGAAGTTCCTCAGAACAGTGTTATTCAATAGTTTTTTCAGAGAATACATTATCACAGGTGCAAAAAAAAATCACTTAACCACTTCCCACACAAATAAACTAAATAAAAACTGATGGAGAGCTGGGCGGTGGTGGCACATGCCTTTAATCCCAGCACTCGGGAGGCAGAGGTGGGCAGATCTCTGTGAGTTCAAGACCAGCCTGGTCTACAAGAGCTAGTTCCAGGACAGGCTCCAAAGCTACACAGGGAAATCCTGTTTCGAATCCCCCACCCCCCAAAAAACTGATATAGAGTCAAACACTGTGGTGCATGCCTGGAGTCCCAGCATTTAAGCGGCAGAGGCAGGAGAAGCGCTCCAAGTCTGAGATCATCAAAGGCTACACAATGAGTTCAAGGCTGCCCTGGGTTCCACAGTGAGACCCTGACTCAAAACCCTACCAAACACAAAAAAACCTATACATAAAAGTAAATGTGAGCACAAATATGGGCTTGACAATGTATATAAAAGGAAGCCCGGGAGCTGGGAAGATGTCTCAGTGAGAAAGCACTTGCTGCCCTGAGGACTCAAGTTAGGTCCTACCACCCGTGTACAAAAAAGGTGTGGTAATTCACAACTCTAACCCAGTGCTGGAGGTGACACAGGTGGGTCAGGGACCCAACCTGTCCAGCCAGCACAGCTGAAATTCCGGGCTCCAGGTTCAGGAGAGGAGGAAGACATCAGGCATTGAACTCTGGCATGTGCCTCCAGGGGCAAGTGCACACACAAACTCACACACACACACACACACACACACACACACACACTCATGCACACACACATGCACACTCACACACATGCGCACACACTCACACTCATGCACACACACATGCACACACATGCACACTCACACACATGCGCACACACTCACACTCATGCACACACACTATAATACATGAACACACACATACTCACACACATGCACACATGCATGCTCAATCAAGCACACACACGTACACATGTACACTACCAACAGGAAACAATAACAGGATTCAAAAGATAAAACCAGCATTTTTCTAACCTCAAGTTTGTGGCCAGTAGTTAATTTCCAGGTTTCACCTGTCATTTGATAAAAGCGTTCTTCTAGTTTTTTCAATTTCATTTCCTGTTGAGGTTTTAAAACATTCTGTATATATCTGCTGGCCTGTTCAAGAAAAAAAGTGTTATTACTATGCTTTGGTGTTTCTAGACATTTACATTGTCCACAAAATTATAAATCAAGAACGAGGTCTGAAACGTGTGGTGGTTTGAACAGGAATGGCCTCCATAGGCTTGTATATTTCAATGCTTGGTCATTAGAGAGTGGCACTATTAGGAGGTGTGGCCTTGTTGGAATAGGCCTGACCTTGGAGGAAGTGTGTCACTGGGAGTGGGCTTTGAAAATGCAGAAGCTCAAGCCAGACCCAGACTCGCTCTCTTCCTGCTCCCTTCTGATCAGGATGGAGACTCTCAGCTCCAGCACTGTCTGCCTGTGTGCCTCCTTGCTGACAACGGACTAAACCTCTGAACTGTAAGCCAGCGCCAATTAAATGCTTTCCTTTATGAGTGGTACCATGCTCATAATGTTAGAACAACAGTAACCCTAAGACAGAATCATATATTTGAATATTCAGTCACCCTAGGAGGTGTGGCCTCCACACCCTGTGGAGGTGGTGCATTAGTGATAGTAGGCTTTGAGGTTTCAAAAGCCCATGCCAGGTCCAACATCACTCGGCCTGGTACCTGAGGATCAGGATACAAAACTCTCAGCTACTTCAACAGCACCACACTTGCCTGATACCACACTCCCTGCCATGATGATCATGGACTAAGCCTAGGAAATGGTAAGCCAGCCCCCAATTAAATGCTTCTTTTATAAGAATTGCCTTGATCATAGTCTCTTCATAGCAACAGGACAGTGACCAAGATTCAGAGATAGCAAAACAATATTGCACGTGTAAAACAAGGATATTCTGGCCATGGTGGCACACACCACTGGTTTCAGCACTCGGGTTGCAGGTGGATCCTGAGCCTGGGGCCAACACTGGCTACAACAGTAGTCAGGTGGGTAAAGGCACCTGGCACCATGCCTGACCCCCCCACCCCAGTTCAAACCCTGGGACCCACACAGTGGAAGGAGAGCACCGACTCTTTTCACACATATCACACAGACGCATGACTAAAGAATGAATAAAATGTAATAAGGTCTTTTATTCTAATTTTAAAGGGTCAACATTTAGCTTGATAATACCAGCACTTAGGGAGTGGAGGCAGAAGAACAGCATTCAAGGTCAGCCTCAGTTACTTTCTAAGTTCAAGGTCAGCCTGCAATACAAGAGACCTAGTCTCCAAAATGCAGGGAGGGCACAGTTGTATGCCATGTGAATCAGACATCAGTAGCTTCATTCAAAGACCTCTGAGCACAGGCTCAGTGAGGCAGCCCACGGGTGTCCTGAGGGCTGAGCCTTACCTGCTCCCCCTGGGCCTCCTGCTGCTTCTTCCTCACAAGTCTTTGTCTTTTCTCATTCTCTTCTTCTTCTTCTGACCCCAAAACACAAAAGTACTTTTTCATTCTCAAGTATCAAAGAATCAAATATATCTTCTATTTTTTATTGTTGTTGTTGTTGTTTTGTTTTTTGTTTTTCGAGACAGGGTTTCTCTGTGGCTTTGGAGGCTGTCCTGGAACTAGCTCTTGCAGACCCAGGCTGGTCTCGAACTCACAGAGATCCGCCTGCCTCTGCCCCCTGAATGCTGGGATTAAAGGCGTAAGCCACCAACGCCCGGTGCATCTTCTATTTTTATAGCCTATAGAATTTAAGGTTTTAAAAGATATTAGCACTACATGTTTTTTCAGATAATGAAAATGAGGTCCATTCAACTAGTAAAAACAAAGTCATTTGCATATGAACTCTGTAATAAAAGCTGTGTTATGAAACAATTCACTAACAATAATTATTATATATAACAAATTTCTTGTTTTGGAGGCAGGTTCTCTCTATATAGCCCTGGTTGGCCTGGAACTAGGTATCCTCCTGCCTCAGCTTCCCAAATGCTATGATTACAACAACATGGGCCACCACACCCAGCCTAAATAGTTTTAATATTACATATTATGTAGCATCAGCCTTCAGTGAAGATTATGTCAATAACCTGTCAACCCATAAATGAGTCATGTGACTCACACTCATATGATGCAAACGGGCAGGAGCCGTCAAGGGCACATTTCCACATTTATGAACAGCAGACCTCAGGAGCTTTCAGAGCAACGTAAGCAAGCAGCAGTCTTCCTGATAGCCTGATAGCAACACATTTTCACTTTATGTGATTTTTTTTTTAGAGTGGTAGGGACTGAAACCAGGGCACACGTGCTATTCAAGTAAGGTTCACACAAGCCCTGAAAATACAACTCACATAAAGTTCCTAACGGATACTATAGTGTTCTTGCTTAATTTCCAAACTGGGTCACCTGCAGTATAAGAGATCAAAACAGAGAAAAGACAAAATCTACGATTTTGCTTCCCCAAAGCATCCACATTGTCATATATTATTAGGTCGAATAATCTTTTGCAATTATGTCTTTTTGTCTGATTAATGTGAAGAGGCTACACATTTATACCATTCGTTGTATTTATTCACATTTTAAAAGCAATAAACTACAGAGGCTGAGGGGTAGCCTGGTTAGTAGAATGCTTGCCTAGAACACACATTAGTCTGGGCGAGATCTGAAGCACCACATACTCCCAGGCTTGTTGTTGGATGCTTGTGGGCTCAGCAGTCAGGAGGTGGAGGCAGGAAGTTCAGAGGTTCAAAGTCATTCTCAGCTACATAGTGAGTACCTGTCAGCTTGGCTTATAGAACACACTATCTTTTCTCTTTCTTTCCTTCTTTCTTTCTTTCTTCCTTTCTTTCTTTTGGTTTTTTGAGACAGGGTTTCTCTGTGTAATGGCTCTGAATGTCCTGGAACTCAGTCTGTAGACCAGGCTGGCCTTGAACTCAAGGGGAGTTGTGGTAGTACACTCCTGAAATCCCAGCACTCAGGAGGCAGACAGAGGAGGATCTCAGTGAGTTCAAGGCAAGCCTGGTCTTCAGATCCAGTTCCAGGACAGCCTCCAAAGCTACACAGAGAAACCCTGTCTCGAAAAACAACAACAACCAAAAAGAGCCAAATTCATTACTGGGACGTTTTTGTTAGCAAATTTAACAATATCTGTTAGTTTTAAAAGTAATCTCTTATAAAGCCAAGCGAAATACTGTTTTTTGTTTTGCTTTTCTTCATTCTCAGTTTTGTGTGTATGAGTGTTCTGTCTACATGTATGTCTGTGTACCACATATGTGCAGTGCCCATGGAGGCCAGAAGGGGACGTCGGATCCCCAGGGACTAGAGTTATAGACAGTTATGAGACACCACGTGGGTGATGGGAACAGAGCTCAGGTCCTCTGGAAGAGCAGCCAGTGCTCTTAACCACTGCCACCTCTCCAGCCCATGATGTTTACAGTGTCTAAGGCCCGTGAGCTAGTTCAGTGGGTAAAGACTTTATGACCTTAGTTCCACCCTTGAAGCCCACATGGCTCCCACGTGAAACTACACACCACAAATTAGAGGTTAAACGGTTCTTATTGTAGCGTAAACAAAAGAAAGACATTTGGGTAGCAGAGGCGACTTTGTATTATTCGCGTTAAGGTAAAGGTAACACAAGTGGTAAGCGCACCTTTCGGGTGGACCTGGGAAGGCTTGCATGAGTCAAACCAGGAGGTGGCCAAAGAGATGACGAACGTCAGCAGGGCGAGCACCAGGAACATCCGGCCACTCAGCAAAACGAGATCTTTAATTCCTTAGGGAAAAATTGACACCAAACATTTTTCTTTAAAAGAAATTCTCCCTCTTCTTGCTACTAATAACAACTGAGAGGTTGTCTACAGCAGAAAGCATAGTAAATGCTAACTGATGCATGCGTCCCGATAGTTTTCCTTAGTCTCGTGGGGCACTAGGATTCAACCTAGCCATCACTACCACAACAAATTGAGAAAATAATTCTAGAAGAAGCATCCTGTTTTAGGAAGACACGGTGTTCGGCTGTATTCTAAGTATTGTGAGTATTAATAATACACAAGATTTGGTTTCCTTATAAATAAGATTGAGGGTAGTATCTTGTCAAATTCCAGTTGTATTTTAGATAGTCATTCCCAAAAAAATGACATTACATTTTTTTCTTCAAGAATTTGTTACTTGGGACACTCGGAGGGGCACCAAAGTGCATCCCCCCACACACATGAAGTCAGGGGACAACTTGCAAGAGTCATTTCTCTCTCTCCTCCGCATGGGTTTCAGGAATCGAGTCTGGTCACCAAGCTTGGCGGTAAGTACCATTACCAGTGGAGCGAGCCATCCTGCTAGTCAAAATGTCTACTTGCTCATTTACTTCCTCAGTACTGGGAGGCCGCCAGCCACTACGAACACTTTCCTCTGCTGGGCTATGCACTCCTGCCTAGTCCCTGAAATGCCAAATTCTTTCTCAGGACTACACTGCGCCTCTGTGTTTCTCTAGCTCCCAGCACTTACTCCGTTACACATAGGTTTATGGGGGCCGGGGGGACACAATTCAGTACTTCTTACACTGTTTTGAGAGCCCAGGCAAAGATTCAATATCAAAAATGTTAAGAGTATCACCTGGTAGTGGTGGTGCACACCTTTAGTCCCAACACTCGGGAGACAGGGAGGTGGATCTCTGTGAGTTCAAGGCCCGCCTGGTCTACAGAGAGAATTCCAGGACAGCAAGGGCTACATGGAGAAACTCTGTCTCAAAACACAAAAAATAAAAAAATAAAAATAAATAAAAAAGTTTAAGAATATAAATCTGTGTACCCGGACGGTGGTGGTGTATACCTTTAATCCCAGCACTCGGGAGCCAGAGGCAGGCGGATCTCTGTGAGTTCAAGGCCCGCCTGGTCTACAGAGAGAATTCCAGGACAGCAAGGACTACATGGAGAAACTCTGTCTCAAAACACAAAAATAAATAAAAATAAATGAAAAATTTAAAGAATATCAATCTGTGTAATGTAATTTGTTAAAGGCTGAGTGAAGAGGAGTGGTCGAACCAAAATTTATCCTGAGTTTTTAGGTTGTTCCTTTGTTTTGTTTTGTTTTTTTGGTCCTGAAACCTGATTCCAGAATGCTTTTATTTCTTATATTTAAAACTTGGCAGACACAGAAGAACCATCTTACCCATGTGATAAGGTATGGGTCTGAGTGGCCCTTTAACTGATAATTTAAAGAATTTACAAAAACATCACTTGCCATTAAGTGTGTTCCACTGGTAAACAGAATAGCATTGCAGCTGTTGCACTGGGAGGTGTAATTTCTTTTTTTTTTTTTTCTTTTTTTCTTTTTTTTTTTTGGTTTTTCAAGACAGGGTTTCTCTGTGACTTTGGAGGCTGTCCTGGAACTAGCTCCTGTAGACCAGGCTGGTCTCAAACTCACAGAGATCTGCCTGCCGCTGCCTCCCAAGTGCTGGGACTAAAGGCATTGGGAGGTGTAATTTCTAAAACAGACTTAAATATTGTTACCAGATTATCAAGAAACCAAGCAGGCAGGGTATGGAAAAGTAAACACTGCCACTTCACAGCAAAGGATTCCAGAGTTAAGTGAAATTTCCCAAAGTAGGAACAAACACCGTCAGAAGGCCAATTGCATTTTCTCCAGCTCTTGGCTGAGTTTTCTTAAACGCTGTGATAAGGCCTGAGAACTTAAACACAAATCTGATGTGGTCTCCACCCTCAAGTTCCCTCAGGTCAGTGCTGAAGGGAAGCATTCTCCCACAATCCTAAATGATGACCTTCTCACCGTCTGCAAAGTGGAAGGTTCTGCATTAGCAGAGTGAAGACGGAAGCGGGTGAACTTTGCAGTGATGAATGCGAGCTCTCACTGTTGCTGTTGAAATAAAAGAGGACTCTGGACAAAAATGCTTGGTTCACAAGCCTGACAATCTGAAGAATTAGCTTGATTCCTCAGAATCCACATAAAGGTGACTTCCAAAAGTCACCCTCTGGGGCTGGAGAGATGGATCACTGGTTAAGAGTACTGACTGCTCTTCCAGAGGACCTGAGTTCACTTCCTAGTACATGGCCCCTCACAACTGTCTGTAAGGCTGGTTCCAGGGCAACTGAAACCGGCACACAAACATACACACAGGCAAAATGCAAATGCACATAAAATAAAAATAGATCTTGTATTTTAAAACGCTGTCCTCTGACCTCCACAAACCCATACTGATGGGTATATCAACACACACAAAGTATTAAAAAAAAACTAAAAAAAACTTGAAAAGTCTCATTATACTCCAATATAAATTGGTTTGTTGTTTTTGTTCTTCAATACATGATTTCTTTGTGTAACAATCCTAACTGTCCTGGAACTTGGACTGTAGACTAGGCTGGCCTTGAACTCACACAGGTCTGCCTACCTCTGCATCCTGGCTCCAATATAACTTTATAAAGAACATTTTATTTTCATTTCTTGTCTGTAGATATGTTTCAGGGCACCTTACGCCTTGCTGATGAAAGAGGCTGGAGGAAAGAGAAGTTAGCTTGGACATTGACTTTAGAAGCTTGTTAGCCAGGCATGGTGGAGCACAGCTTTGATACCAACACTCAAGAGGCAGAGGCAGGTGGATCTCTATGAGTCCAAAGCCAGTCTGGTCTACAAAGTGAGTTCCAGAACAGTTAAAGCTATTACTCTGGCCCCAGAGTGCAGGGTGATGGGAGGGTGAGGGGGTGTAATTAAGGAAGGAGGCAGACATAGAAACCACCCATCCAAGAGGCTTATTGTTTCAACTTCACCCAACTCTGTCTATAGTTTATACTCATTGTCTGTTATCCCAGCCATTGTTATAACTACTCACCTACAGAGCCTAAGTTGCCTCACTAGTTTCCACTATAGCTTCCTTCCAAAACATTCTCCACACAGAATCCAGAATGACCTTTTAAAAAGCTCTGAGTGTGGATAAGTCAGGAATGGTAGCTGACACCTGTCTCAGCACTTTCGGGCTGAGGCAGGGGGCTTTGCCTCAAGTTGAAAGCCAACCTTAGCTAGTTTAAGACTCTGTCACACAGCCAGGCAGTGGTGGCGCATGCCTTTGGTCCCAGCACTTGGGAGGCAGAGGCAGGAGGAAGAAAAAAAAAAAAAAAAAAAAAAGACCATCACACACACACAAATAAAAATCAAAACAAAATCACCTCCATGAAGCCACTTCTCAGCACATCACAACACTCTCAAAGGTAGACTTTAACAGTACTGTGAACTCAAGTTCCCCCAAAGAAGTTCCCCTTACATAGTACATTCTACAAAACATGATTAACCCGTAACTTCTTAACACTGGAGTGGTTGGAATGTTGCAGGTCCAGAGCCCAATCACAAATTGTCTTGGACTACCTTTAGCCCCCTTAATAGCCACTCATTGGCCACCACTATGCCCGACCCGCCCTGTGACTATCACAGGGAACTTAGTCCACTGGCTTTCACCAAAGCAAAAGCTCGGAATGTTGTCGGGGAGAGGTTTCCCTACACGCTACAATAACTCATTTCCCTGATGTACCAATGTCTATTTGAAGTGTTTTATGACGTTATTTTCTGTTACTACAAAAAAATAAACTTTTTTTTTTGGTTTTTCAAGACAGGGTTTCTCTGTGGCTTTGGAGGCTGTCCTGGAACTCACTCTATAGTCCACGCTGGTCTCGAACTCACAGAGATCCGCCTGCTTCTGCCTCCCGAGTGCTGGGATTAAAGGCGTGCGCCACCAACGCCCGGCTTCAAAAAAATAAACTTTATGGAACTGTGGGACACAGAATTTGAGGTTCCCCAAATCTGTTTAGAGACCACAGGCTTCTCGCCCTCCGGGGTGAGAGCTGTGTGGTTGTTTATGCTAACAAGCCCATCCAGCAGTAGTGGAGCTGGAGATTGCAGCTTCTGAGCTGGAATAAGGATTCAATAATGTTACTTGGAGACTCCCTTTCTTTCATCCCTTGATCTTGCCACAAAGGCCTTCGCCTCAACATTCCCCTCCTCTCCACCCTCTTTTCCAGGCGATGGCTCCTCGACTTCCAGGCTCCGTCTCGGTGCTCAGAAGGCCATCATGCCATCAGCCTATTCGTTTCCGGCTCTCATCGTGCTCCGAAGTACAATCGTTTGTATCTGTCCCCGCGCTTCTCGCTCCCGACCCTTTCCGAGCGGACCCTGGCCAGAGCACAAGAGACCTTTTCCCGCGAAATGGGTGGGCTCCGGAAGAGGGGCTGGCGCGATGGACTCTGGGAATTGTAGTCAGAGCCACGGGGAGGCGCCACGGCCAGAAAGGGACCTTACGCATCACTCAGGTGAAGAGCACCGAAGGCGGGATGGAGACAACGCTTACCGAGACTCGGGATTCCGCGCCGGAGCTCCAGACACAAGAGAGGGAGAGCGGAGAGCAAGAAAATGCCAACGACGCCACGAGAGGCCATGGCGCGAAGGTCCCGCCGGGCGCAGCGCCCGCCCCTTCCGGCCGTGCCTTCCGGCGAGGCGGGAGCGATGGCCTCGCGCCGTGAGCAGCGTGGGTGAGGTGTTGTTAGGCCCTAAGACCGCGGCGTGGGCCGGTTGGGATAAGTCCCTGTGATATCAAGCCCATTGTGTCTGCCTCAGAAGGCGCGGGTCATCTCCGGGGGGTCCAGGGAGGCGCCTGTCCTGTGGTGATGGCTGTGGATTGGCCGATTGTGAGGGTGACCGGAAGGAGCAGTTGACGCTGTGAGGCCCGGTGGCCTTGTGGCACTTGGGGGTGACTGGCTTTTGGTTCCTAGCTTACTGGTTATTAAGCATTTTCTCACCCTTACAGGTCCTGCGGGAAGCTTAAAGGTGGAGCCCCAAACCCGCCTGAAGATACTCTAGACCTGCTCCCCTTGTTGCTCTCCCTGTCAGTTTGCCTACGCGTGTTACTGTTATGACTTAACCTTGGCCTCACGATTCTGTGACTTCATTGTCACTCCACGACTCACCTCTGGCAACTTGGCAGCCGAGGTATGGAGGGACTCCCCACTGACAGGATATCCAACTCTGCAAACCCGAAAACCTCCAAACGTGTAGTCACTCTTCAGTTTAGCTCAAGAAACACTTACCTTTTTTTTTTTTTTTTTTTTTTTTTGGTTTTTCAAGACAGGGTTTCTCTGTATTGTTTTGGAGGCTGTCCTGGAACTCGCTTTGTAGACCAGGCTGGCCTCGAACTCACAGAGATCCGCCTGCCTCTGCCTCCCGAGTGCTGGGATTAAAGGCGTGCGCCACCAACGCCCGGCAAGAAACACTTATCTTATGTCCCACAGTTTGCCTGGTTCTCTAGAGCTCAGACATTCAGGTATGTGTAAGTTACTGAATTTGTCCTGGACATGCTCAGCTCTGGGATAGATGCCCTGTACAGAGACTGTATGATGCCGGTGCCATGACAGGAGCGTGTGTATACGGAGCTACAGAATCACATGCTACCGAGTGAAGTGTTTCCTGAGGAAACAATGCCTAGCTTGTGATGGTTAGGCATTTGGACCGGGTACACCTATAACCCCAGCACTAGGGAGGCAGTAGCAGGAAGATCTCTGTGAGTTTGAGGCCAACTTGGTCTACATTGTCATAAGCCAAATGGCAGACATATTGAGACATTGTCCAAAAAGAATGGAATGAATAAATTTGGGAGACAGGATTCAAAAGGAAAACACGAGATTTCAATGAAAGTATAGAGAGGAAGCTGGGCACGGTGGGCAGAGGCAGGTGGATCTCTGAATTGGAGGCCAGTCTGGTCTACAGATTGAGTTCCAGGACATCCAGGGATTCACAGAGAAACCCTGTCTCAAAATATAAAAAGGAGAGAGAGAGAGAGAGAAGTGTACAAAGGTGAGTGAGACCTAAAATGGTGTATCTCCCCAAAGGAAGAGGAGACAGAAAGGGAGTAAGAGCCAGAGGGGATGGATGAAACCAAGAAAACAAGATCTAAATCGAAAGGATCAGTGCACATATGAATTCAGAGACTAAGGCAGAGTGCACAGATCTGCACCAGATGGGATCCTAGAGCTAAAGTGGACGCATACCTCCATCCCTAACCGAGAACCTGTCTCCAATGGATAACCACTTGCCAGTGAAAATTTAGTTTTCTCCAAAGGGAGTCTCACTAGGAAAACAAACTAAAGGTAGGCCGCATGCCCAGCTGTAAATGTCTAACACAAAATGAACTCAATGGCATCTTTGGAGGTTCTTTGGGTAATAATGTCCTGTCAGGGCTTTTCCTATTTTTAAATTTTTATATATTTTTTTCTTATCTCTTTTTACCCTGCAATTCCTGTATTATGGCTTCCAGTTTAGTGTTTTTATGGTATTTCCAAGTGTGCAAACATGTGCCTTCCTTCTCTTGGGCTCTTTTCCTTCTGTTTATTTGTCTTGTCCTATTCCAATGTGTTAGTTTTATTCTAATTATCCCTTAGAAACTGTTTTCTACTGACAGAAAGGGGGTGGATCCAGATGGAATGAATGGTGGAGAGGAATAGAGGGAGGGGAAATTGTAATCAGGATATACTCTGTGAGAAAAAAAAACTTTCAATAAAAGGAAAAAATTTTTAAAGGAAGTGCACAAAGGCAAATTGGACCAAGGGTCACTGAAGATTGCTTTGTCAATAGGCAATGAATTTTATTGCTGAGTATGGTAGTTGATGGCCATAATCAACACAGAAGACTAAGGCAGGAGGATTGTGACTGGTTTCAGACTAGCCTGTATACAGTAAGATCCTGTCTCAAAAATAAATAATAGCAACAAAAATGTTTAACCTCAAATAGCTCAGAATTTGCCGGGTGTTGGTGGCCCATGCCTTTAATCCCAGCACTCTGGAGGCAGAGGCAGGCGGATCTATGTGAGTTCAAGACCAGCCTAGACTACCAAGCGAGTTCCAGGACAGCCTCCAAAGCCACAGAGAAACCCTGTCTCGAAAAACCAAAAAAAAAAAAAAAAAAAAAAAACTCAGAATTTGAGAGCACAGCCTGAAATCAATAACGACATGGTCGTCTGAATTACAGCAGGATGCGCCAATTAAACACCTGCTGATTCATTCGCATGTTCCCTCTGCTGCCTGTGCTGATTCTATGTGAAGACAGGAAGGGAATTCCTTCAGTTCTTACCTGCTTCGTTTTGCTGTGCAATCCCCTTTTTTTGTTTTTTCCTTCTTCCTATGTTACCATTTCAATCTATTTACAACATCATTGTGCCTTATTTTGGATTATAAAGTAAAAGTTTCCAATCTGGCAAGATAGCTCAGTGGCTAACATCTGAATTCAATCCAGAACCCACGGCGGGAGGGAGAGAAGCAATATTCAAAAGTTTTCTGACTTCCACGTTCACACAAGAATATTTTTTGGAGGGTTTTTTTTTTGTTTTGTTTTTGAGACAGGGTTTCTCTGTAGCTCTGACTGTCCTAGAACTCACTCTGTAGACCAGTCTGGCCTCAAACTTACAGAGACCCACCTGCCTCTGCTGGAATTAAAGGAGTGTGCCACCACCACCTGGCTTTACTTTTTTTTTTATGGAATTTTACACTGGAAGCTGACTTGGAGCCACTTTATGGCCCAAGTTGGCCTCAAACTCATGTCAACCCTCTTGTGTTAGCCTCTCAAGTACTGGTATTACAAGCATTAGTCTGTGTTGATATTACAGTGTGATATTTAATCACTGTGAACCCTGAGTTTTGTTAATTAAATAAAATCAAACTTGGTTCAAGGGGTGGAGCCAGTAACTAGTTGACAGGAATTAGCCATAGAGAGACCTGTGGAGCCAGGAATATGCATAGAGAGAATCACAGAAAGCAGTAGGTTGGGACTTGGAGTTTCTTTGATTTGGGACAGGTGAAGAGATGCATCTCTTGCTGGGTGGGTCTCTGACCAAAAAGCAGTGTTAACTGGTTGTGTCTCAGCTTCTCTGATCTATCAGGTTTTCACCCCCACAGAGTCTTGGTTAGTAAATAGACTTAGCTTAACCCTATGTAACACAGCCAAGGCTGGACCAGTACCTTGAGTGGCCAACAGGGTGCTGACTACGGGGCCATGGGGCTATAGATGATAATTAAAATCAGTAGATTCTTGTGCAGCTGCCCACAGGAAAACATCATTAGCCACCATGTTTGACTTACTTTCTGTTAATTATTAACATTGTTTGTGTAGCTGGAACACACAGAGACTAACCTGTAGGCATTGGCTCTTTCCATTAACCAACAGGGTGTCAGGGATGGAAGCAGGTTTGATGGCAAGAAACTTTACTCATTGAGCCATTTCACTGGCCCTAGTTTTCGCTTCTAAAAAGAAAAAAAAAAAAAAAAGCTGGTTTCTGGGTAAGTTAGGATAGACAAACATGAATCAACATTTGCTCATAGTCTAACACAGAAACAAAAAGCCCAAGCCCTGCCTGAAGAGTGTTGTGTGTTCTGGGATGATCAGAGAAAGGTCACACAGAATGTAATTCAGGGTCTGCGGCAGCAGGGAGGTTCACCCCTATGAACTGAACCCTGAGCAGCTAAGCAGAAGCATATGTATTGATTGGTGCACAAAGGTGGCTTTTTTGGGTAAAACAAGTTCCTCATACCAAAGCCCCAATCTAATCTATATGCTTTCTAAGGAAAACATCACACCCTACACCTTTAGTCCTTACTATACGCAGTAAGTACCCAATAACGCAAGACACTCCAGGTGTGCCAGGACAGAAAGACTATAAAACTCCTTCAGAAAAACAACTATAAATTACATAAAACAGTCACTGTTTGATTGTACCTCCAACAAACAACTACCATATTCTGATGTTTACTAATATATTGACTACATTTTTTTCCTTCAACAAGGAGTAGATAAAATGACTCTACTAATTTTTCCTTCTACAAAGTCCACAAAGAGGTGGGGGAGACAAGAGAGAAGAAAGGGGAAGAAGGAAATGGCAAAGATTAGGTAAATTCTACTTACTATATGACGATGCAAAATCTCCAAAATACCAAGGGATTGTAAATAAGGGTAGGTTAAGGGGAGGCCAAAATGGAGAACTGGTTGAAAGTTCGTTTAGCGTGCATTCAAACCCACAAACTTTCTACTCTGCAAGTCTGCTCCTCGTGACCCACAGGAAAGAGCTCAGCTATATTGTCAGCAAAGGTGGAAACAGCTCCCTCAACTGAAGACCAAGGTGGATGAGATGACCCAACCTTTATGGCTCAGCCGGTAAAGACGTGCTTGCCGCCAAGCCTGATGACCTGAGTCTGACTCCCCAGAACACATGGAGGAGAAAGACAACACACAAATGACCTACTCCCACACATTCACCCATGAGTGTGCACACGCACATTCAAAATCAATAAAAAACTGAAAACCATGAGCACATTGAAGAGCCTGATGAATAGCTGGGCAGTGGCTACCTTTTGTGTCTATGGCATCCATTTTTAACATTGGGTGTTTTACATCTAATTATATTTACTAGTTGTCACCATAGTCTTGAAGAGAAAACTGATAGCTTTTGTTTTTTATTTCTTAGAACTTTAATACTTTAAAAAGATGTTGTGGGGGACTGGAGAGATGGCTCAGAGGTTAAGAGCACTGACTGCTCTTTCAGAGGTCCTGACTTCAATTCCCAGCAACCACATGGTGGCTCACAGCCATCTGTAATGAGATCTGGTGTCCTCTTCTGGCTTGCAGACAGACATGGAGGCAGGATGTTGTATTCAGAATAAATAAATCTTAAAAAAAAAAAAAGATGTTGTGGGACTGGAGAGATGGGTCAGTGGTTAATAGCCCTGGCTGCTCTTCCAGAGGATGTGGTTTAATTTCCTGCGCCCACATGGCAGCTCACAATCTCTAACTCTCCTCCCAGGGGATTTGATGCCCCCCTCTAACCTCTGCAGGCACTGCACATAAGTGCACAGGCATT